AACATTGATGTCAAAATCGAACAAATTGTAATTTTTTCAGCATTCATATAGTAACAAGCATTTTTTTGGTATCATTTCTCTTGTCTATATTTATTATGACTTGTAAATATGATAAATACACAAGTCACTTCAAGCACAACGTTCTTCAAGAATATCGTCCTGGATTTTTCGGTTGTGGATTTAAAACATTAGTTAAACGTTTTAAGATCAAAGGTGGTCGTAAACTTATTATGAGTTGATATCGGCGATGGGATGGCACTATCAGTTATTAAATCAGAAATCAAAGGTTATCGAGCACGTAAAATGTCACGGCAACAAGGTAAACATTATATTTTGGACTTTGTTGAATTACATTAAAATAATTTCAATTTTGAAAATATTGAGATAGAGAAATATCCTCTTTTTAAGGATACATCCAAAGAAAAAATATAATTCTTGGCGTTTCTTGATTTTCCAGCTAGAACACTCAAGCACTCTTGGTGGTATAGAACATTAGTATTTTAACCTTTGTCCATGAATTAGTATTACCAATGTCTTTATCTGAGTACCACAGCTTTGATAAATAATGGAAAACACAAAAAAATTCACCAATCGTTCAATTTTATTTATCAACAATAGCCTAAGCACATATCTCATATTAGATGACATTTAGAAGGAACAGTGCTACTATTCGCTACAGTATCTTTATGGAACTATAAGTTTTAAAATACGAAGAGATTGAATGAGCACTATTTTTATAAGAAAAAGACGGATAATCGCAGGATTGCACTTATTCGTGTATGGTTGTCCTTTAACACAAACATAAAATCCTAATCATTTCAATCTTAATTCTGGGATTCACATGAGATTTTTGGGATTTTCATGAGATTTTTGGGATTTTCATGAGATTTTTGGGATTTTCATGAGATTTTTGGGATTTTTATTGGGATTCAAAATCCTGAAAATCCGCCGTTTCCCCCTTGGCCAAGCCTCAATTCGAAAATAAATGAAAAAAATCAAGACGACACTTTTCTGTTAGTCTAGGAAAATAGGAAAAGAAAAAGTTTTGTTTTCTGAATTATAATTAATGATTGATATAGGTGGCTCACACCTGCTAGTTTAGGAAAAGAAAAAGATTTATTTTCCTAAACTTACAGGTGTGCGCCATTTATATGAATTATAAATTATAATTCAGGAAAAGAAATCTTTTTCTTTTCCTAAACTGACAGGGGTGAGCCGTTTATATGAAATATAATTACTTTCGACACAAACTTTTTCTTTTTCTTTTTGGTGATTCAAGAACATAAGTGGGTTCGAAATTTCCATTTATATTCGAACTGGAATTAGGCAATTGATGGGTAATATCTTAGTACATGATTTTTCAGTCTCTTTGTCGGTGATGGCTGCCTGTTTGCCATTATCGTTCGGTTCTTTACTTTGATAGCGATAAAAGACAAATAACGAGCTTCGATTGACAACCTAGAACATTCATGTTATCAATGTAGAAAAAATACTACTCAAATATGAATTGTAATGCGATATGATTGGTTGGTAATGCAGATAACGGGTAACCCATAATTAATGGCTATACTTTGCATTGCATATTATAAATTCTAAATACGTTTTATTAAAACAGTAAAACATACCACAAGATGCAACGTGAGAAGCTCTACAGTCCACAAAGTAAAGCTTGTTTCGATTGTTCATTTTTGTTTTCAAAGAGAGTAAAATTCTATGCGCTCAGTTTTAACATTTGCGCAAACATCATTATTTTCTACACGAATGAAAAATTCCTTTTCTTTTTATTTCATCTTTTTATCACATAATATGTTTTATAAAAAAAAATACGATAAGACGCAACGTGAAAAGCTCTACAATTTACAAAATAAAGCTTATTTTAATTGTGCACCTTTTGCTTTCAAAAAAAAACAAAATTCTCTGCGACCAATTTTCACCGTTGCGAAAAAATCATAGTTTTTTAATGCAAAATTTATTTTCCCTTATCTCATTTTTTTATCATCTAATATATTTTCTCTAAAAAAATAAAACATACCACAAAATGCAGCATGAAAAGCTCTACAATCTACAGAATAAAGCTTATTTTATATATGCACCCTTTTTGTTTCAAAATAAGCGAAATTCCGTGCGATTAATTTTCGACGCTACCTAGAAGATCATTTTGTGGTACACGATGAATTCCTATTCTTATTTCATCAGTTAGTGAATCATAAATTTTTAATTTATTCCATTGAATATTATTGCTAATAAGCATTCCACCCCTAATAATCTAGAACATTGAGATCAGGACAATTTGGTGACCATTGCTGATCATGTATAAAATGCATGACATTTTCTTCACACCATTCCAATGATTTGAGATGTGTATGTAGAGTGGCACGGTCTTGCTGGCGGATAAAATTGTCACCTAGCAACCGCTTAACTTCGAATTGTCCATGTGAAAGAACAACATTCAATATAATTCTTGTGAGATAATATTTCACCAGGTTCAAGCATAACTGGAGACGTAAGACCATTTCTAGAAGCACCTAAGCACACCATAATTGTTTTTGGATGCTTAGCCTTTTGGTGTATCCCACCTTGTTTTTCTGCTTCCTGAAGATTCACAATATAAACACGTTCATTATGACGGTAAGATAAATCTTCTAATGAAAAATATTTTTCATCAGTAAATTTAAATCTTACCATGATTTATTTTTCTTAGTGCTCGTCGCACGCACTATATACATGGTATTCTTCGTTTTTTGCCATAATCACTCAGTTTTGGTTCAGTTGTAATACGATAAGCACGTATTTTAATTTCACCTGTTTCTCTATTTAGATTTTGCCACTATATAACCGTACGTTAGCTGACAACGATTCGTAGTTGTTCGGTAATTTACGCCGATGTCATACCATCATCAGTCATTCGCATAACGACTTTTTGAAGGTTTTCAGATTTTATTTCTTTTTATTGAATGTAGGCACTTATACAGTCATGAATTGTTATTGTGTAACTCGTATGTGCCTCTATCAATAATATGAGAAAAAGTAGGAAAAAATGATTACAGAAATACATATCGATTGGCCTAAGACCGTTCATTGATTATGGCTTTCGATATAATTCATTAACTGATGAAAGAAGAAAAGAAATTCACGGAGTACTAAAAAACGATCTTCTTCGTAGAGTTGAAAGTTAGTCGCACAGAATTTCATTTATTTTGAAACAAAAAGGGTGCATGTGTAAAATAAGCTTTATTCTGTAGATTGTAGAGCTTTTCACGCTGCATCTTGTGGCATATTTTATTTTTTTAATAAAACGTATTTAGAGATTAAAATCTGCAATGCAAAGTGTAGCCATTTATTACGGATCACTCTTTATTTTTGGAGTTGGCCACAATGCTTGACCGGAGATGCATCACAATTGAGCTGATTTTCATTTCAGTAAGACAATAAGATATATTCAACTGAGTTTCCATCGACGTTACGAAAACTATCATTTTTATTTGTAATAGTGAATATGAATGGCGACTATCTTGGTGTTAATGCTTACAATTTATATTCATTCACATTGAGATCTTTTGCTGAATAATAGATTAGAAGCGTGATTTGACTACGCATTTTCTTTACTCATGATTTCATAGATTCATATGACCAGTCCTGTTTTTCCTCTGTGGCTCATTGCTTTCCAAGCGTTGCTCGTTGTCACTAAAGTCAACAATATTGTGACGAAGAAGTGTCATTCTATCTTTACTTTACAAACTAAAGTGAGGTAACTCAACTCAACTTTACCCGGTAAAGTAAAGTATTCAACTTCACTTTATTGGTCAAGTAAAGTTAAAAAATGACGAGTTTTTCATTTACGTACGAAATGTATTGTTTTCTAACTATTTAACTTAGCAAGGTAAAGTTAAATACTTTACTTTATCCCGTAGTGTAAAGTTAGTCCACTTTACTTTACTTTTCCAAAGTAAAAATAAGTTAAAGTGACACCCCTATAGTGCAGCTGGATATACAATGGACACTTTTATGAGCGTAGAACATATCTCCGTTACATTTTACTTCACTCATTTAGAATTGAATCACTCTTAACGGAGTATAAAAATTGAAATTTCTTTTGTTGTTCCTTTCAAGAAAAACTTGAATAAAAATAACCGTAAAAAACTTGATTGGAAGACATCGAAGGTAAATCTTGGTATATTATAGAAAGTTCTTGTTGACTTCTCGCAGGGTGTGGGTGTGATATGTGCATGTGGGCCTTGCTCTACTCTGCATCCACACCCAAACACATGCAACACACCCACATCCACCCACACCCTCAGTGAGAAGAACCAGAAGCATAAAAAAGAGTTATCATTTAATTTAGTAAGCGAAGCCGTTGTAGTTTGCGCTCTGTATGCGAAGTTTAGACAGTATGGTTATGTAAATCTGGATTTCGCCGATGCAAGACTCACATTTAAACTCAGAGACGGAACTATAGATATCTTTCGGCCCTGTTCAGATATTGTCCCAGGAAATTTTCGACCGTTTTTGAGCTCTCTTTCTATTTAAGCATGAGAAATAAAATATGTATGTCGCTTCTGCTTTCGAATCACATTGTAAATGATACCAAAAAAATGCTTGTTACTATATGAATGCTGAAAAAATTACAATTTGTTCGATTTTGACATCAATGTTCTGAATACTCGTCTTTACCTGGATTACATTTCACACGCATTTCAATATATGAGCATAAAGGTACGAACGGAGTGTGAAAAATGACGAAGTACTCAAGCCATGACTCGAAATGAAAAATATGTCTTCTTTCAAGCATCCTTGCACATTCGTACTTAGTGTTTCTGATGAAAGCTGCATAAATATGCGTGCGCATGATAGAGGAAGAAAAGAGAAAGAAGAAAGAAAGAAAAGAAAAAGATTGGAACGAGTTTCAGAGGAGTCAAAATAAAACGGACATAAGTATCTGTGTTCGATTTAAGAGGAGTTTTGTCATGGATTCGAATCGATAAAAGCTATGTGTTAGAGAGCACTCTAACAATATATGTTTTGTTTATGTGTATATAATATGTACATTGTGTCTTTCAATCTTTCCTTTCTCTCTTCTCCCTTTCTGTCACATATACCATCGGACATCTAG